TTGCCGTATACGTAGGTACAAACAGAGTATCTTTCAGTTCTATAGTTATCAATCGACCATCACTTGTTTGAACTTTAAACGTTACTTTTCCCTTTCCCACAATTTTTGAATTACTTCCATTTGCACAGCCAACATTTCCATTAATATTCGTATCAAGTTCCGTAAAAAATTCGCGTGTTTTAAACATATGCGCAGAGCAACCGCTATCAATCAAGCAAAATTTGTCGGAATTTACGCCAAAATCATTGTCATTAGAATGAAAACTGAAAAAGTCGACAGTATTTTCATTTTCTGAAGTAAAATGGCTTTTGTTTTGTTGATTTTTTGATGTAAACTGTTTTTGATGGCTGCTATTTGAATGGTTATTTTGGGTATTTTTCCTACAATCTCTAGCAAAATGTCCCATTTGATTGCAATTGTAGCATTTTATGTCTTTCTTGCAATCCTGTTTTCTATGACCTTGCTTTCCGCAACTGTAGCATTTAATAGTTTTATTACTAAAAAACGTTTCATTTGTTGAATTTTTCTGCAAAAAAGTCTTGCTTGTTTCGGCAAAATTTGACAAATCTCTTTTAATCTCGTCCAAGCTTTTTGCAGCTTTCGAAAAATTCACCACAGTTGTAAAATTATCAAATTCTTTTGGTAGTCCTTTTAAAAGCATTGCAATCATCATTTTTTCAGAAATACCCTCTCCCGCTTCTTGTAGATTCATTTGCAAATTTTCCGATCTAAGTATGTAGTCCTTAATCGATTCGCTCGCCTCTAATTTCAAATTAGAAATTTCATTTAACATTTTTTGAACACGTGGTCGTTCCGTACTTTTAAAGTAGCTTTGCAGCCGATTCCATGCCGCTGAACCATCTGGTTTATCGCGTTTTATTAGCATTACAGACTTTCGATCAAGGCATTGTATTAATTCACACCACAATTGTTCTTTTCTATCATTAACATTAGTCTCATTTTCACTACTTCCTGGAACATCTGTTCCCTTCAAGGTTTTCTTTAAATTCAAAAGAACTATACGAGCTTCAAATTGCTCAGCAAAATACTCCCAATCATTTTCATTTCCCGAAAAAGTCAATTTTTCCAATCTTGTTTGAATACTTCGTGCCATGGTTAAATGTCACTTCAAATTTCGAATTGTAAAACTTCTCTTTCAAAACTTCTCTTTTCTTTCAAAACTTCTATTTTCAAAGTTGTAATTCATACGAACCAATTCTTTTCTTTCTCTTGAAATCCTATTCATACAAACCACCGTAGAATTTTACTCTCTGATGCTGTCAGGCGTAGAGTCTCAATTCTTCACGAAATCGCCCATAACCTCTCAGGGTCCATAAATTGAAATAGCAGCGAAAGATTTAATTGAATGAATTAGTTTCCCATTTTTAGTATCAAGAGATTAAAGATCATGACTTCAGAGATTATTCACATCGGTATGAACGAATTATTACTTCAGATGAAAGTCAATTGGTTTTAATTAGACAGTGTGCTAAATATATATAATGCACAGTTGAAATCTTTTTTGTATGCGCGCTCTCCGCGACTAATTTAGTTTTCAGTAATTATTAACTTTATGGTTTTGGTCATCCGTTCGTTGGAACACTCATCCCGATGATACATCCGCTTTGCTAAGGCCCGCTGTCATTCTTGCCGACGGTTCGTTGTCCTGGTTCATTGCCTGATCGTCCGTTAACTGAATCGGATGGTTTCGTGTGCAGTCACCGCACATTGAGTCTGACAGGAATCTGCAGTCACCGTGCAACCGGATCACATTCACATAAACAGGCAGCTTTGGATTTAAGTACGTTTGACCAGTTTAAGCTGCTTAGTGATGATTGTTTTTATTTTCATGAGGTTTCTCAACGCCGTGTTTATTTCCGACCATGGTGTGCTTCAAATAGTGTAATCTCAAGTAATGTATTGTCTCAAAGCCTTAACGCTCCGAGGCCTTTTTCTCCAAGGATATCGACTTTTCCTCGCGCGTTATTGTTAAGATTGAGTTGTTCAAGCTGTCTTTTGTTCGTTCGACACAACCCATTGCTCGATGGTCGATTCCTGTTTTAGTGTAAAATTTCTACACCTTCACTGTTACAACAGCTTCTCACTTCCTTTGACATAAAATACTTTTTTGATCCACGTCAGTTTTCTTCAGCACCCCATGATTGTTCATATATGAGTTATGGAACCTTAGGATCTGATCCGAGTGTTTTGCTTTGCAGAACACCGCTGATGGCCAAATCGTGAATCTGTCTACTTTTTAGATTCTTTAAATATTAAAGGGCCACCCGAAATCTAAATGCTATATTTAATTTGGCTCCCTTGGTCCCGGAAATATACATAGATCTTACCATGTACATATAGGTCTGAATTCATTACCCTTTGCAGTAAATTCCTACAGTTTTCCGCCATTACCGCGGTTTTCCGGTTAAAATAGGAAAACCAAATGTCTTTCACCGCTGTGAACATGTTTGATCTGCCATGGCGATAGTCGTGCAGTCTGTTGTTGATGACTTTGTGTAGAGTGGTGGGCGTAACAAGCATGTCGTCCATCCGTAGGACTTTATCATGTACATGGAAACCGTTGACAAACTGCGAGGAGTACCGAGTCATGTTGTGGACTTTCTGATGGATTTCCTTTTCGTCCTTTGCTTTTACCAACTCGTAGGTGGCTTTTAATTGCTGGTCTGAGGCGAATTGCAAACTAATGAATTTGAGTTTAAACAATTCAGGGAGGACAGTGTTTTTCTGGACCTTACACAGTCGGGGGACTATAGACATTATACAGACTATAGACTTTATACAGGGGAACTGTAGATATTATTCACCGGAGAAACGTTTTCTCCATTGAGCCCCGAAGGAAGAAATAGGACGGTGTTCGTTTTCGTGCTATTTGTTTCCGTCGTAATTACAGGCAGTTGGGTCTCTCCAGTTTTAATTTTCCACTTCATCATCTCCGCTGTCACTCGTATTGACACTCGGATTCTCTCTCACAATTTTTTCAAATTTTCGGAGTGTTTTCTTCATTGTTTCAGTTTTATGTTCGATTAAACTCTTGCTGCCGTCTTCTAAATCAATAATCGCTCCTACTGTTTTCGATTTTTTGCGCGTGAGCGTCGGTGTATGCAAATTGCTGACTTTTGATTGGTTGAGCGTCTATCGCATGCTATTTGTTTTTCCTATTTTTCACGCTCAATAGAGATACCAACGCTTTATGGTGGGTAATAACTTAAAAAGTCCGTCCCAAAAATTAATTTAGAAAAAAATCGGCCCGCCATACTACCACCAGCAATTTCATATCATTTATTGAGTGCCGATTTCCGTCGTCATTTAAATAAAGCCATGAAATTGAGATTGACCGCCATCCTTTGAATTGTTCTAGCGCAGCTCCAAATGCGTTATGGCTTGAAACGCACGCTGTTCAAAAATCTTTGTGTACATCAAAAATTTTCATTTCCACAGTTTCGCCAGCTGGCAATCCAGATATTGATTGCCGCTTGGATTCCGTGTCCGGAAAAAAAAATTTTCTGCTGAGTAGCGGGCGTAACGGCGCTAAGGATTCAGCCAGCGCCGGCGTAAACTATGGATCAAAGTCAAATATGATTTGAGTTGTGACAGTGTGCGAGGCGGTTTCAATGTTCTGATCGGTTCAGTATTTCGGCCTTACCCCGATTTTGTGCCTGAGCTGATTTTGTGCCACTCACATTCTTTTTGCACGAATTTGCGTTTTGTCAACTTTAGTGACATATTCTATTCGTCTAAGTGTTCATAAGCTCCTCGATATTCGGCTTTTGCTATATATTTTATGCACTTGTTTATTTGGTTTACGAGCTTTCCGTGCAAATGGTACAGAACCGAAGTTTTTACCGTTATTACTATCGGAGAAACAAAGTTTTGATCCTAAGCGTGGTCGAGTTTTTCGATGCGCCCTTGGTGCAACAATTTATTAATCTCCCAAGTTACTTTCTTTTTTAATGTCATGGGGACTTGTCGACCTTTCTGCTGAAAAGGTGTTGTGTTTTTCAAAGTTTTGCCTGCACCGTATAGTTTTTGACTGTACCAACACGTGTAAAAAAGATTTGAGAACTGCTTACAAAAAATCCTGTCACGGGTCCAACTTTTTGTCTCCCTCGGCATTCTCATCTTGTACTGCCATCACGTGCTCCTCCGGTGTCCAACTCAGCCAACCAGTCACGTCCAATTGTTGATGAGCGGTCTCCTCCAATCACTTTGATGGATGCTGACGTCGGCCAGCCACTGGAAGCAAGGTTCACATTCATCGTTGCAAGTTGAGTGGATTGTTTCCGTAATCTCGGACTTCATGATCCTCCGCTGTTAAATAGCATAGTTTCGTTGCAGAGGAGCCTAGAAAATTCCGGAGCTCTCTGACTGTGAAGATCCGTATCGGGTTTCCGCTATCGATCCATTCGCTAGTACTTTTCCCGTTGATTACAATTGGTAGTTTTGCGCCTGCAACTCGTATTCGGCGCTCTTTTTCGATCTAATCGACCTGACCAAATTGTAATTGACATAATCAGATGGGATATTATCTGTCGTCGTATTTCTACTGATCGAAGGGACCAGGTGGTTCCATTTGTCAAACTGAAAGAAAAACAGGCGAAGTGATCTTTTTCGGAAATGCATTATAGCAGACTATGAAGCAATTTTTGGAAAACAAATGTGCATGCTAGCTCAGCGATTGATATGCTTACTATTCGGACACAAACCACTTAAACTATATTTGAATTATAAAAGATGACAAAGATAATCAGAAAAAAATATTTTTAGTTTTACTCAAGACTTTCAATTAAATGATTAAAATATAACAAAAATACAAAAGGAAAACGCATTTAAAACCATAATTAACCAAAATTCTTGCCAAATGCTAATCATGTGTGGTATCAAGTTGCGTCAGTTTTATTGCTTAAAATTGTGAATTCTATGTGGGAAAAGAGGTAATTTTTTGGATGATTATTCTAATCGAGATTTTTTTTTGCTTTCAGACTGATCTTCACGCTTGTGTCTGCTTACAATCCTAATCGACAATTGAAGTTTATCTATTTCGAAAAAATGGAGTCTGCATCGGGAAATCAAACTAGCAGTTCATGTTCACAATCACCCCTCGAGTGTCCCGACTGTGGGATCAAACTGACAGGACAGGCCCCTGAACTACCTTGTGGACATTGCATCTGCATCATATGTGCCGAGAAGCTAGAGGAAAGTACAGAACAAAAGTGTCCGGTGCAACATTGTCGCAGTCATCAGACTAGCTTCGATGAGCGTATCCAGGTTTCAAACTTGCCAGTGAGGCCCATAATCGCCTTCATTATACCACCTCCTCCATATGAAGGCAAGCTAATTTTTTGATAACTTCATAGGAGAGCTTGGAAAAAAATGATGGTTGACAACAAAATTTTCAGTTACGACACAAATTGTATTTCGAAATTAGGATTTTTCCTTTCCAAATGCATTCTTCTAATATTCTCGCTCGAACATTCCAGACATCTTTGTTTTTATGGCGAGTTGATTGATGAGTTGGGTTACCCCACAGAGTAACTTCGGATTAATTATACCGTTTAGATCAAACTTTGGGCCGAATAGTTGCGTGCAACTTCTAAACTCAATACTGATCTTAGTCTTTTATTTTTTCCTAAATCTCAATAGTTCCTAAGAAATACTGCAAAAGCGATAAGTTGGAGATCATTTTTATTCGACGGTAACTGTATTTGATCCAAATCATCTTATTGACGAAACATCCCTTTTCTCAGAGTGATTTTACCGGAAGATTTCTGCTTTCAGAAGAGTCCAATTTCAGTTTCAAGTGGATATCAAAACATGGATCATAAAAATACAAAAAAAAAGTTTCCACAAATTTTTCACAATGTCAAAAAAACCAATTTGAAATTCTTGATTTTTGTCTGTATTGATCGAATAAAATAAGCGAGCGGGCATACCAGCTGAATCATTTGAGACTTTGAAACATAATTTCCAGCAAGTAAACTAGTTTTTGGAGTTTTTTGTTCAATTTGACTATAATCTTTTGACTGACCAATATGCCTAAATTATTTTTTAAAGTCAGATCCTTTAATTAAACCAAGCAAAAAAACTGCACCAATTTGGAAAAAAAACATTCTAAACAATGAGGAGAGGATCTAGGATTATCTCGAGGGGAAGGGCAGTTAGTTCTTTTTTTTCTCAGATTTTTTCAATCACGGTGTTTATTTGAAAAAATAAACTTTTTTTATTTTTTAAGACTGTGCTCGGAACATTCTGTGCTACTTGCACAGTAACCGGCTATCCTTGTTTGATTTTTGTTTTGTTTGAATATATTGGTGGTTGAAATCTATGTTCATCTTAGTACCGCATTGAGTATGATCTGTTTCTGCCTTTGTGGATCTGATTTGGCAACGGTGTACCTCAGCTGTTTCTACTTGCTCGGGTTGACCAAAAATGCTTATCATACAATTCTCATAATTGGGAAATTTCTTTTCATTCAATTCCATACGTACACAAAAATGTACGAAATCTCTATAATCAACAATTTCACATAAATACAAATTGTATGATAGGTGTTTTTTCCATAAACCAAAAATTTGTTTTTTGTTTCTAAATTTATTTTCTGTAAAACTATGGGTTGTGTTTGCAGCCGAACATAAGTGACAAAGACCTTGGTAACTCAAAGCACCAAAAACTGGACGGTCTTCCATTTACGAAAACGACCTGAATTGTTTGCCAGCTGTCTTTCACAAATGATCTAACGAACTTTTAATTTTTGGCAAAATTTTTCAATGATGATTATTTTATCTATTTTTTTTTCAAATATCAGACCTTGATCAAGGCATAAATTAACACGCCATACAAAAGAAATAGGAATTTACAGCGTTTTTGAAAAAAAAATTAAGAGAAAAGAGAAAAAAGCCAATTTTATTGTATCCAGGACTACGTTAAGCACACAAAAAATATATATTTTGCATGCAAAAAATTTTTTTGGAAAATGTATGTTTGCGTACAAAATTATTCTATGTGGTGTTGAAAAAAAACTTATATTTTTGGGGCAAAAGTCCAAAATTACATGGAAAAAATTTTGTGACGCCACCAAAAAAATGCCAGTCCTACAACTTCCATATATGGAAATTATATGGTAAGCATTTTTAAAAAATGATAGTAAATCAGTTCTTTTTTTTCAGTCTGCTAGACTGTTCTCAAAAAGCCGCAGAAAGGGTTTAGTTTTTTCTTTTGTTTTTCAAAAAAGGATGAAAATTGTATGACAAGCATTTTCTCCATACACTAGATATGTGGAATTTTATGTATGATAATGATTTTGTTGTATGGAAATATATGATAAGCATTTTCGGTGGATGGATGTCAACCCGAGTAATAATTGAAGGTTTGGAGAAAATGAATTTTTTAAAAGTGTTTAGATGTTTTTGACGTATCATTTTGCTTATCTTGTTTCTCATATCTGCATTTACTGGTCTTTTTGTTGATAACTAGTGGTTTTGTGGTTTGGTCTGAAGAATCTTAAACTACTAAATCTAATGTTTCTCATTTGGGAATCATGATGATTTTATCGAATTGACTTCGCACATTGTTTATTCATGTTTTCTGTATCTTTTAATTTCAAATTTTTTTATATTGCTTGTTGTTTCGGGCTTCAATTTAAAACTTTTAGTGCCTATTTGCTTATTAAAAAGGAGTGTGATGGTCAATTTTATTGGCGATTTTACTCAACTGCGAGTTTAAGGTCCTCATCAAAACTTTTGTCACTTTCCTAATTGATACACGGGTTGACAAAAACGCTTATCATACTATTTAGTATTATAAAAAATGCTTATCAAACTATTTCACACTTTTTCATGAAGCAAAAAAAAACTATGAAAACAGCATGATAGGCAATTTTTCCGTTCTATGAAATTGTATGACAAGCATAAATGAAAATACCAAAAAATATTTGTTTTGAAATTTTGTGTTTCAACCGAAGCACTAACCTTTGACTTTTTGTCATAAGAAAACCCAGAGTGTATCTGGCAGTTACCACGCAGATAAACTGCATTTGTTGATTTTTGCCGCCTACGTTAATTTTTTTTACATTTTCACAGGGATTATATACCAAAAATGAAATTTTTTGTATATGCCTGGATAATTTTTGTTTTGAAAGTTTTGGTAGTTAAGAAAAAAAGGCCTGTTTTTTATCAAATTTATTTTTATCTTAGGAAATGAAAAAACGAAATAATAATCGCTTGTACAAAAAAATACACTTTTTTGTGATTTTGGATTTTTTTGGTGAAAAAATCATCCTGGACTACCTTATTAGCACAAAACAAAAACAAATTTTGTACGCATTTTTTATCGCATAAATTTATATTTGAGCACAAAAACAAATTTTCAACCAAAAAAGGGATGAACAATTTTTTACCTCAAATTTGTGTTTTGCTGATCAAAAAATGCAGGTCATACATTTTTTATATATGAAACTATTATGACAAGCATTTTTTTGACCAAAAGTAAAAGCATATTTTTATTGAGCAGAAAAATTCAAAAACGGAAATAGATCAAAAGTATTTCTCTAAAAACGTTTAGTACAGTTTTTAAATTTTGTATGTAAATCGTATGATAAGCATTTTTTCTATAGTCGCCATTTATGAAATTGTATGATTGTAGCTTTTTTCTTTTGAGGACGTGACCCCGGGTAGTCATGCATGAGAGAAGTGCATCAGCTTTTCCAACTGCTAATTAAATAATTATTTAACAAAAAACTAGTTTGATTTCTCTAATTTGATTTCTCACGTTGTTCATTTTTTTCAAATTTTTATTATTTTTTTTCAAATTTTTATCTAACGATTCATACTTTTTTCAAATTTCTTTTGTAATTTTCCCGTGTTTTCTTTAGTAAAATGAAAATATTTATGCTGCTGTGCTTTAAAAAACTATCTTGGGTGTTTTCTAGTTAAAATGTTTTATGTTGTGTGCAAATTGTTTACATGTTTGTGGAATAAGTATGCTTGTCGCCTGGTTTTCCTAACTTTGTAAAAAATTTACAAAATTGGTTTCTGAAATTGTTCATTGGATAACGCATAATTATCTTTTTGACGGGATAATTTTTGCTGCTGGGTTTATTATTTTTCTGAGACAATTCCCTTCAAGTTAAAATCCCCACGCCTCCAGCATCTAAGTCAATTGTTCATTCTGTCATTGGATTCCACAATCAAATGATCACTACACAAAGATCCGACATGTTATTTTTTGTCAGTAGATTCGGTGGACAAACGTGTTCTGGCCGTTGAAACGGATTCCATTAGATGTCGCTGGATTTCAATAATTTTCAGTGGTTTCCGCGGTCATTTTACTCTTTTAATCACCGGAATCCACTGTTTTTCAGTGGATTCTGCAGCCAATTTTTCTTTCTGTTCGACAAGCGGAAGTTGAATTGATGCACCAAGTATCGGACCCATTTTTCGTTAACCGATTTATATATGTGGAATAAACCTATCCCCTTCAAGTTTGAGTACATTTCTGTTCAATTTAAAATTTAGAAGACAAATTATATCAGCATATGAGACAAGAGGGGGGCTTACCCCTCAGTAAATAAGACTAATGTCGCAAATGCTGGGGGGTAATCATGAATAGGCTTTTCTCATTAGTGAAAAAGGGGGATAAAACTAAAGCGAAATAAATTCAAAATGCAGATGATACGTTGATTACACAATTTATGAATCAAGTAATAAAAAATGGGTCCGATACATGTAATTCTGGCATCAAGTGACAGAAAGAAAATTGGCTGGTGAACCCACTAACAAACAGTGGAACCCACTGACAAAAAGTATAAACTGACCGCGGAATTCACTGACAAATGGTGGAATCCAGCTACTTTTAATGAAATCAATTTCGATGAACAAAATACGTTTGTCCGCGGAACCACTGACAGCAACTAACTTGTCGGCATTTTGTGCAGGGATCATTTGATTATGGAACCCACTGACAAAAGTCTTAAAAATATACAAAAAATGAGTCCATTGAATTCAGACACTTGAAAGCACAAAACTGTGCTCAGTTAAAAAAAACGAGCTTGGCATCGTAATATTGAATACAAAACAACGCTATGATCACCAATATTGAATATGAGTCAAAATCTTGTATAGTTTTCTAAATAATTTCAAGAATTCTTGTCTGGAACTTTGCTAAATCGGATACGACGGAGCTGGTAGTTGTTAGTTGATAATGAGGATGTTTAAAAGCCACCTTGATCGATAAATGCTTATTGCTGTACAGTGTGGTCAAAATTTTTAAGCCACAACAGAAATCAAAAGATACGTAAGAGTCTGTTCCAAATGGATCGACAGCGGCTCTTCTAAGACACAGAATAGCGCGTCGAGAAAGATTTTGCGTAATAGTTAACAAAGAAAAAACTCGCAGTTACTCATATGCTTTTTCTTGTAATTTTTGGCTAAGTTCGAGATTTCTTTATATCGTAGAAATGATTTTTTTTTCAGAAAGGACGGAAACTCCATCTGTGAACTTCTGCGAAAAACACCCTGGCAAAGCAGTGCGATTCTACTGCAACCCATGCTCCAGGGCAATTTGCGAAGTTTGCTGGGAACAAGATCATAAAGACTGGAAATCTCACGGAGTCACGACCTTGAGCGTTTACTTAGAGCCACAGCTGAGAATCCAGTCACGTATCTCAGATTACAGAGAAGATTGTGAGAGGCTACGTGACTTTTTAAAAGAGTGGGAGACGGTTGTGACTCAAATTGGAACAGTCGAGCGGAAACGGGAAGCCATCCTGAGAAGCGAATCCACGCGTGCTATCGAGGAAGTTTCAATTTATGTGCGAAATTCACTGAAATGTCAGATGGCTGATATTCAGAAGTTCAAGGCTAAATTACTTGATCAATTCGGTAAAATTGAGCGTTCGTTTGAAGACATATTCGGCGACACAGTGGCGACTCATGAGGATGATAGGAGTTCTAGCTCTGCGGTCGGTGGACCAGCGCAGCTGATTGCAGAGGGTGGAATTGGGGCGTCAGCTAGTGATAGTAGGCCAAGTGGAGCTGATGGGTGGAGTAACGTTGGAAGTAGCAGTTCAGAAGGAGGGATAAGTGTAGGAGTGGGTGAGAATGTGGGGGGAGGGGCTGTAGAAAAGAAAGACGAGAGGAAGGAGAGAGTGTTGGTTGGAGTGAAAGAAACAGGGAAGCTGAATGGGAAAATTTGGTGTGAGAAGGCAGTATATAATTGGGAGACAAGAGAAGTGATGTGTTTCAGCTGGTTAGAAGGAGGTGTGATTAGTGTAATTGGTGTGAACGAGGCCAATGACAAGTTGGAACTGAAGAGGACGATGGAGTGGAAGATCAGGGGAAGCAACGATTATTTGTGGGACATTTGTATGGACGAAGTAAACAACACTATGTATGGAGTGGTTAGACAGAAGAAACGATATGTGATGAGTGTGGAGGAGTTGGACCAGTGCAGTCTGAAGAAGAAAGGCAGCAGCAACACTGAGTTAGACACAAGAGGACTCAATGGGGAGAAAATATCTTGGTTCTTGGTATCAAAGAGAGACACAATCGCATTGGCAGTTTTTGATTATAGATGTAGGTTTGGTAATTTTAAGTGGGATAGTGTGGCCATTTACAGAAATAGAGTGAGAAGAGTCCACACTCTGTCACATCTGAACATTAAACTGAAGGAAGGTTTGTATTGGAGTGGTTGTGTGTTGGTCAATGAGACCACTCTCCTTCTCAGTTGTGGAAATGATTCAAATAAAGTGGCAGTGGTCTCATTGCCACCACAATCACTTCACAATCAAACATCTTCTTCTTCGTCTTCACCCTCCTCTTCTGCAGACAGTACAGCGAATGTGAAGTATGTGATACTCACTGGAGTGGATCGTGTATTCTCCCTTGTTTGGATACCATTTGGACAACCACTTGAAGGATATCTATGGGTGGGGGATTATAATATTGAACACACACGTGTGTACAAAGTAGACCTCGAGACAGACTTGAAGAATGTGGAAACTGGACATGAGACACAACTACAAGTGCATAAAATGTCACCCCTAGAGAAAAAACTCACTCCATTGTGTTCTACTGATGACTCAACCCTTTTTGCACTCAGTGGAGATATAATTGAAGGTCGACCAGTACTACTCAAATTGGACTTCAATCCACATGAATCTGGATATTAATCACTTTGATACCAATGTATAGCTCAAATAATTCATCTCAACACTTATACATTAGTAGTATTTTTCGCAGCTAGACAGCGCGGGAGGGAGGGGGGGGGTTAGGTAGACTTCCTTGTATCAAGATAGGGTAGACGGTTTCAACCCTATGTATCAAGTAGTATATGTTGGAGCCAAATCGCCGGGGGGGGGGGGGTGGATTGAAGTCGGTGATGATTCCCTTAAAGTGTGTCGAAAAGTTGTTGGTTAAAATGGAAAAATATAATTTTTTATACAATGTCAAACATCAAGCGTGAGACTACGAAATTAAAATGAACTAGCTTGTCTTCATTCGTTTTGGAACGATTTTGTAGTGATGAATATTTTTCTTTTCGTGAACAGTTTCCATTAATATGCATCAGACTGTTAAATGAGCAGTATAATTAGACTCGTTTCCGAGTCAGGGTAGCGTAGTCGTGTCGCAAAGGATCGATGTCCGCAGTGCGCAAGTAATTGTGCGCATATCATTTTGAATACAAAAAACTCCACAAACAACTCCAAATCCCGTGAAAGGCGGAATTATGTCCGTATCATCTTTCCACACCCCACAAACTGAGCGGAATCATCTTCTCACACGCCCTTTGAAGTAATTTGTGGTAGATTTTGCCTTAATACCGAACTATTAAAACAGGACTGCTCGTATGCTCGAGCCCTGAATGTTCCGTTTGCCTTTTAAGGTGTATGGAGCGGCAGTAAGATGATAAAATTACAAGTTAGTAGTATATGTCGGGGCAGTACAGCCCGGGCCTGAAAACCCCCATGTATTAACATAGGTTTTAGACAATCCGGTCTTCACCCTACGTAATAAAATAGGGAATAGGTTTCCCAATGTAATAAGATAGGGAATAGGTTTCCCAAAGTATTAATATACCAAGTTTCAGATGGTAAGTCTTTTTCGGAGCCCTATTTTTCCATGTATCAGGATAATGTATAGATTTCCCTGTGTATAAAAATTAGTAAAAGAAATTCATTGTATTAAGATAAGGAATAGCTTTCTCAATGTTTTAAGTTTATAGGTTTCACAGTTTGAGATGGTAAAATGGTAAATTTTGAGAAAAATTTGGGTTTCAAAAAATTTTTGGCGCCCGATTTACCGATACAGCAATGTTTTAGATTCTTAACGTTTTCCTAATCAAAAAACAAAATAATGTTGTTAACCCATGAGCAGCATGTACGGGGAAACTTTTTTTTGCATCTGCTCTGAAATTGTCTCGACAGTCTTTGCTTCGCTTTTCAGTCCATTCTGCTCGCTTGCTGGGAATAATACATTTATCTAAATATTCTTCTGCCAAAGCTAAAAAGAGTAAATCTGCATCCTTTTCGAGTTCTTCAAAATTATTGACGTTGCAAAACTGATCAAAAAAGTTTAATAGAGTTCCAACATTCCCGACTTGTCATACGGAAGTATGAAGAATCCTACTTTAATTGGTTCACGAGGATCTACAGAAGATTTGACAAAGTTCGCTTCATAGAAATCTTTAGCTAGGATTTTGAGTCTCTAGTAACTGGTTGTTAATAGCCTCACAGAATTTTTTGTGTTCAAGACTTTTTGTATGTATGTTTTGATCTGTCTATTATTTGATAGTCATAGGAACCATTTCCTAGCAGTTTCCTTGTTTCGGCTACCACGCCAGATAGTAGATTTTCATCACTGGCTCGCCTAGCATCAAAAAGAGGCCGAACGAAACTGTTGAATACTTTACGCGGTGTGTATTGTATGATTCGATTAATATCTGTACACTGTTTTCCAAGATCCAACTAAAAGTTGACAAATTTTGTGATAAATTATTTCATTGATTAAATTGAACCTCGATATCAACTCGACAAGTTGCGGTTGTTCTATCAAATCGTTTTCTTCCGTATATGTCTTCATATATTTCCCAATTTTGTTTCTGGTAGCATCAATGTTTTTGAAAATAAGCGGGAAGCTGCAGAATCTTTTTTAGACAAAACTCAGATCACATTGTACCTGGCCAAAATTCGTTTCAAGTCTAATGCTTTGCAGAAATGAGTTGGGCGAAAGTATTCTATTGAAGAGAAAATACGCTCCAACGTGACTTTTCACGTTTACGTTATTTTTAAATTGATCCCACCATCTACACTTCAACATTTACTCTATGGAGTATCCTTTTTTACGAGTGTAACTTTTTTTGAAGCTCATCCTTTGGTTTTTTCTTAAGTTCTAGTTTGATATCGTAATCAGTTAGGCTAAGTCTAGCTTCTTGTCAAGGACAAAAATGGAAAAAAAGACAAACCATTGCTTTAAAAACAGTCTTACAATGGTTGCAATTACCATCCCTTGCCTTAAAGTCTTGCATTTCTTCATTGCATTCCCATCTTGTATACAAGCCTGTGGGCAAATCCTGTCACATGGAATAAGGAAAGAGCTGATTGGCTTCAATCACAACGATTGATTTACCCAAGTTGTTTGATTTTCAATCAAACGTCTCGTTTGCTACTGTTTTCCTTGTAAAAACTACTGAGCGACCACCGGTCAAACATTCCCGTATTTTTTCATACAAGTCGCAATTACTCAAAAACCTGGGTGAGACGTATAGTCGGTTGACGAGTGAGGAACGATTTATGATTCATTGAGGTCTATATCATACCAACCACTGCTGAAGTCAAATACTGATAAAATCTCTGCTGACACTGCCTTAAATCAACCAACTGATTTTTCTGAATCCTGAGAAAGCGAGTGGATGCGTACGTTTCTTCCTCATCCGCGATAAATTCGTCCCCGTGTTCTTTTGCTCCATTTTAATTGAAAGTGCTCCGTTCATTGGGGATGCTAAAATTTGTGTTTAGACGCTTTTTGATGTAACTTTCAATTTCCAAAATTTTTTGATCGCAGCTCTGCTTTATTTTTCTCCGCCAACAGATGCAAGTTCTCCACGGAATCAAAATAGTTGGATTATAGATCTTGTCGCACAAAAATATAGGTTTGTCAAGTAATTTTGATGAAGTTGATAATGATATGGATTGTTCCTTCCCGATACAAACTATTGGTTCGATTGGTTATAGTTTTTTGGATGGCACGCAAATGGATTCAAAAAGAAAAATGGCGAATAGTTCTTTAGTAAACTCAATTTTCAGGCCATCATTTCTGACTATAAACATTTCTAGGGTAAATGCTTGAGATTCATTCTTTGCATCGTAGAAGATTCCTGTTGAGCTAGTAAGACCTGTGGAAAATTGTATCGCATGTTGGGCGTCGGAATCATTTGAAAAAGTGGTCAATGTTTCTGACGTAAGTAAAGTGGGTGTTGTATCGTAGAAGCTTTACTGTATTCTCAAGTTTATCGATACTTCTCTGAGCTAAATCTCCAAGAAAGTCTCCAGCTTCAATGTCGGTATCGCAGATGAATCTGCTTTTCTCTACTACATCTTCAAATTTTGGTAGTTTTCAATCGAAACTCATTAAAGATTTTGGAGGTGGATGTTTAAAGATTAGTTTTTCCATGAAAATGAACTGCATGCGCTCGAAAAAAAAACATAAAATGTCATAGGATGCTTGTTTTCAGTTTTGATTCGAAATCAAACAGTTTACTTGATTATTTCTCTAAAGTTGTTCCAGAATCATTGAATCTGGACATCCAGTCGGTACGTTTCTTAGCAGACTAGTGACCAACTTGAATTGCCATTTTTTGTTTTGTCTCCCTTGTCTACAACTTCAAGGATATCTTGCTTTTTGACTTTGATTTGTATATTCGTCACTTTTGCTTTAAAACAGAGTAGCATAGATTTATCTTGGAGTATGCTATTCTCATGAGCGTAGAAGTAACTCTATTCATCGGTTTCTGTTTTGCGTAACACAAATCTCAAGGCAATGTCAAAATATGCAGAGCAATAAAGTTTTTCAAAGACTTGATCCAGTTTTTCATTATCTAGATTAGGATCAAGTTTGTAGAGTTAAAAATTCAATACCATGTGACGTCCATTTTTATCTCAGTATCTGTCAAAAAAACTTGACTGGCATTCAACTCAACTCGTAGCTGATCTCTATCCTCCTCACTTTCAAGATTTTAATTAAATTAGCGAAAAAAAAACACTCCTTTTCCTGCTTTCAACCCGTGATTTTTTCTACGACGTTGTTGAAGTGAATATTAGCTTCGAAATTCTTTCTCACACAATATACCAAATGTTTATTTTGGGTTTAATTTTAAGTGCTTCTTGCTCTTTTGGAACTTCATTTTTTGCTGTTTGTAAGTACAATAATTACATTCCGGACAAGAAATAACTTTTCCACGATACTCTTGCAATGTCGAGCTGCATTGGTTCTCCTGTACTCTTTCTTTACCACAGTCGTCGCCTTTCACTTCTTCATTCCTGTTGAGTGCCGGCAACCAAAAAAAATTTTTTGGGACAATTGCATTGTGCTAAAATTAAAAAAAGTATATGGTACCTACAAAATTGGGAGAATTGAAATGTCCCAAAAAAAATCAATACCTTTTTTACACTTAAATTGAAATATTGAAAATAATTGAAAGTAAAACAAAATATTTGTAGTAAGTATTAAAGCAATTGCTTCTAGCGCCACAGAAAAAATCAAAATGGAACAAGTTCGCTGTTGCTTAGAAAAAAACCACCAATCAGAATTGAGTTTTGTTTTTTTAACATTGTTTTTTGAATATTAAACAATCAGAGTCCACTAACTTCTTACAGTGATCCGTTTGTTCTTTTTCAAAACCTTACACAATTTTTTAAAAAAATTTAAAAAAAACAATTGATTTTTCTCGGGTCACCTCATAAGAGAAAAGAAAAAGTACAATTAATTTTTTTATTGATGGAATAAGTGTCAACACTTAGTACTTTTGAAAAATTTTGGACGTTTTTGTAGTATAAAATAAAGTTATCGGACTAAGTAAAGGTCTCTTTGGATAATTTTTTCGCAATCAAAGAATTTACTTTTGAACTAAAATTTGAGTATCAACGGTTGAAATTTACAGCTGAAGTTGACCTGACAAAGATAGAAATTTGTTCATTCACAAAAAATTGAT